TGTGGCTGGCACGTCAGTTTCAACATCCAAGAAGAAGTCAGGCATCAGGGGGTGACCTAAAAGGGAGGAAAAATGTAGTAGTAAGTCCCAGTACACCTGGACAGCACAAACAGGAATCCATTTTGTATGAAACTACAGCCAAGTTTATAAGTACATAAACTACAACCTGAAGGAAAGACATAGCATGAAATAACATGTTTAGGTTTGGTTCATTTAAAATCTGATCTAGAAGCCTCTTAAAGTTGCAATGAAAAACACTTGAAGAAGAAAAAAAATAATCTATCTCACTAGCTGGTAAATAGTAATATATACATCTACAGTGCAGATAAATTTTCTTTTCCTTAAAGTATTTTTTTAATTTAATAGGCACTTGACGATTAGCATCTCAGTAGACTCATATGTGCTCTCCAGGAAGGCATGTTCTGAAAGCTGAGGCAAAGTAACTTTTTACAGACTAATTTAAGAGCCCCTAGAAACAAAACTATATTAATATTCTTCATACCGCATTCCCTCCTTCCTGAACTTATTTCTCATCTTAAAGATCTGTTTTACCTGGTGCAATTGCATAGACATCAAAATCCTTAACTCCTTCTTCTCTCAGCAGAACTTCATCAATAACAAAGTTTCCAGTGAAAGTTTTTGGCTTTGTTAAAATGCAATACGCAGCATCTGCAAGGATGTCCGTTTTCCTGCACTGTTTTTCTATTCCAGATCCTCCCAGCATATCCATAGCAGCTGTATGTATGGCTACAAAGTTTGGAGGGTAAGAAAACAAAGCTGTAACACTGACAACATGAAATTCCCATTTCTCTAGCAAGTACAAAACCTTTGTTTTCTGTTCACATAAAAGGAAATCGTAGGAAAACAAAGCTATGGAATACTACCAACCAACAAATAATTCTCTACAAGCACCAGTAAAAACCAGAAAACTATTAAAGGAATCAAAAAGTGGAATAATGGGCAGGACTTTTTATGACATTCGCATCCCTCTATCCCGTTATTGGTGCACCCCCGCCCCCCGCATTTCCTCCAGGTTATTCAGGACACGAAAACTAACAGGACAACTCTTTTTCTCAAAGTGAATGTATGACACATCAGTTATTGAAAGGTATTTCCTTTGGTGATTATCACACTGAAAATCTTGATGCTTAATTTTAGCCTTGTAATAACTCCCATGAGATACCAAAGTGTCTCTCCTAAGTTAACGAGAAACCAAATAGCAAAAACTCAAATAACTTGTTCAATATTCCACAGTAAGGCTGTGTTAGACCCAAGAATAAAATCCGCATCTCCTAAGCTTCTGGTTGTTTTATTAATCAATCCTACTAACTTCTGCACCATTCCATTAGTCTTCTTTATGCTTCCCCCAAGGGAGCTACTAACACTGTGGCATGTTTCCAGTCTAAATCTGTAATTTGCTCTTCCATGCTGACGTATCCATTCGATTTTTCTTTCATCGTGTTCCAGAGAAGCTGTTTGGTTGTAGCTTTTGGCATTTGCCATGTTACTGTTTTCCCCTCATACAGTTCTGCTTGATGACTTTTTCCCATCTGCTGTTTAAGACTCAACGCTCTGCCCCCAAGTTTTGGGACAGATTCACAAATCCTCTCCTACACCTGGGGCTGGCGGATCCTGGAGGCGGAAGGATAAACCTGATTTTAAATCACTTCTGTCCTCCTTTCAGTGTTTCCATTCCACACAAAGTAACAGCAGCTTTGATGCAGAAATGACCCCAACATCCCTCAAAAAGCAAATAATAGGCACTGTGCAGGACACATCTATCTGAGGTAGATCATTCGCCCTCCAAAGTAGGAACTGGGAAAAAGGACGTCAGTCTTCAGTGCTTGCCAGGCAGATCCAGTCAAAGTACTTTCTAGGAAAGTTCAAGAGTGGGTAGACGTCCTTGTTGATTCTCTTATTTTACCCTTCTGTGGTGAGGATTAGCCCCTAGGTTTCATTTACCTTTGACCAACCTCAGCTTCTTTTTTTCAAATCAACTAAACTGCTATAAATACGCACCTAAATAAAAAGTGGCAAATAAATACACTGTACATACACCTACATCTCACTAGATCTTTTTCTCATTTTTAAGGATAGGAAATAAATTTGCCTTTCTCTGGTCCTCTGAAATGCAACATCCTGCAAGATTTTTTAATTTTTTTAAATAACTACCAACAGTTCAGAGAATATTTGTGTCAAATAATCTGATGGAATTTACCAGGTTCTGTCTACCTGAATATATTCCACTGTTCTGAGGATTCATTAACCTGTTCACTTTTCCTGGCCCACGCTTCTGCCACCTCTCTGTTAGTGTCAACTATTATTCTCCTGAGCACAGTAAGCCTATGCGCACAGACTGAGGCAAAAAGGTTTAAACAGGTATCGCCTCACAGTCTAGCTGCACATTGTTCCACCTATTTCATATAAAGTGCTGCCGGTTTCCCCCTAAGGCACACACAGAGTCTTCCAGTTCTGTTGCGGGATACCTCTATTACTCATACGCACTCTTAGTGATGGGATTGCCTCTTGCCCTTCTGCTAGGCTTCCTCTTTCACTTTTAGATAAATGGAGAGCTCCTGGCATCTTATTACCAGCATACTTTCACATGTTTAAAGAGTCGGATTAATCAACAGATACTGCCATCCATACTAGCACTGAGGCTAATCACATTTGTATAAGATTATAGTGGTTTTTTTAATTAAGAACTTTGCAACTGTATTTTAGATACCGTGGAAGTCTGTAACTCTCTCTGGTGACCACATGAAAGTAGTTAACTTTCTCACTTTTGGAAAACAAACCATTTGAAAGAACACTTTTTGTACTGGAGAATTTGCACATATTATCCTCTTTTATACTTGAGGGCACATCAGTTTTAATGGAGGTATCACTCCTTTATATAAACTTTGAGAGCTCATCTAATGGTTCTAACAGTCTTAAACTGAATGAGCAACAATGGATTCAGCAAATACAAAGCTCTGTCTGCATACCTTTAATTTTATAGAAAGCTTAATTACTTTTAAAATTAGTTTGCAGCATGTCACAGAGAGAAATCTTTATTAAAAAAAGCATTTATTAGAATATACAGTTGTCATTTGTAAACTGAATCTTCCTGCGCTTCCAAGCCTCATGTTCTGCAGGTTCCTGAGGGGAACAGATATTAGCTGCACTCTGTAACAAGTGCCAGCTTCTGCAGTGTTATCCTCTTACTTATTTTAGCAGGTACAAATATGTTACCAAGGACACAGTGGCACTCTAATGCACAAGATACTACTTTCTTTGGTTTGGGTTTCCCCCCCAATAAGAATGTCATTTGTAGAAGTTTAATTAATACTATCATAGACATAATACCAGACCATATCTGGGACACTGGTACTTTTTCTGACATTTGGAGGACTACAGCATACACAAACACTGGAAAGAAATAACGTATTCAACTATGCAACACAAGACTTGATGTAACTTCTGCCTATGAAGTTAGCCATCCCTCTGAAAAATTTTTCATGGTGAGTGGGTGGACAGATTCTCCTAGGTTCTGTTTTCCCTTGCCATGAAAAACAGGAGGCCGAATTATTCAGACAGGTGGGGGAAAACACCTACATTGCAAAATAAAGGCCTAGTATAACCAGCTGGTCTCTGCAGGAAGAATTCTTTAGCTTTCAACAGTACATTGGGACCCATAAAACCACCGACTCATTTCCACAAGAGTAGTGGATGTTTTCTCCAGCATATCCAGAATCACAGAGAAGGAGTTGAAGAATCAGAAAGCTCTGGAGGGTGCACATCATGTGCCTATGGAGCATGTAAATATGTGCATTTACAAGACACAGGTAATCTTGTAACACCTTTTGCATGAGAAAATTAGTCAAATTAGTAATGTCTGCAGCTTGATACCACATCTCTCTGTCTGAATGAGACACTCTGGATTAATTCCTCCACTGTCCCTAACTCTCATGTACAATTTACATTGCTTAATCCGTCAGTGACCAAAAACCACAGTAGACAGAAGATCACCTCTGCTAATGGAAAACCAAATTACTCCTACATATAGGATTCTGAGGAGATATAAAAACCATTTAGAAGTGGCATTTTAGGGACAAGCCAGGCAGGATGGCCATGAAGTCTAGGGAGCCAAAGGCTTTAAGAACCAAGTCTCATGGCTCTATTCCAGATGACAAAGATAGATCATGGGAAATCTCCATTGAAACATTTCTGAGGTTTCCCTGGCACACTCCAGAAGCCATTATGTGGAAACAAGTGCCTGTTTCTTCTAACTCCTTCAGAAATAAAAAAATGCAACAGAAACTCAAAACCTGAAGTGAAGCTTCTTCCTTGCCAGGAAAGCAATCCAGACCCTGAAGTTACACATGCAGTTGCGGTCAGTACCCCAAAGATGAAGAGCTTATCCTCTTCAAAATAGACAGTACAGGTTTTGTGATGATATAATTATCATGAATGATGTAATTATAATTCAAAAAGTCAATCCCTTACCAAAATATTTCTATGGGTAAAACTCATAGTGTGAGCAGAATTATGAGGCATCCATTTACTGGGAGAATTTAGGATGCAAGCATCCAGACCAATGAAAAAGGACCAGGTCTGTCAGACATACTAACCCAAGAGTTCAACTGAGTATCACCTAGAGTGTTTAAGCAAAGAAACTCAGCTGATTTTGTTTGAAATAATTAAGTTTTGCTCATATTCCTCACTTTAGAGGAAGCAAATCAGAGCGCTTCCACACTAGAAGTTAAAATGGGCCTGCACCACCTAACAGGAAAATGTTGAAAAGTGCCTGGGTACAAACACGTCTTACACTGGAGCACTAGCCCCAGAGGATGATCTTGGTTTATATTTCTATTTCCTCTTCCTTCTCCCCTCCCTCTACAAGCTAAGGGAATAAATTCTGATGTTGTAGTGTTTCATAACACGATGACTGGGCTCACACCATTAAAGGGCAGGACTACCCTCTGTCTTTACTGATTTTAACATCAGTACCATTTCTACACATAGACGTATTTGCAGTGAAGAGAACAACCTCTTTGGCAAACAGCTGACTATACCTCAAACAGCTGCCCTGATCCTCACTGACCCACAGACAGCAAACAGAAGTTAATACAATGTGGGAGCATCGAGTTGTTTTTCTTCCATAGAGCTCTTTAATTTCCTGTGAGTTGCAAGCAGATGGTTGTGTGCTGGCCCACTGCACCAAACCTCCTAGGAACAGGGGTTTTTAAAATTATTTCTGCATTTACAGAGGTATATATCTTGTCAGTTCTATCTATGCTCTGGCAATTTAACTAGCAAGGAATTCTAAATAGTACTATATACACAGATGTTTAATACCTACTAATGAAAGCATGCTGTCCAAACCAAAACACTGGGTGCATGAGAAAGAGCAGAGACACACCAAACACTATACAGATACTTCAGCCAGCTGAGAGAGTTTAGTGGGTTGCAAACTAGCTGAAGATGAGTTTGGATCAAAGTGGTAATGGTCTAGTGAGAACTAGGAATGAAAACCAGCACCCATGCAGGATGAACAAAGAATATGCAAAAGAACTGCTTGGTCTCCTGAATCAATGCCAGAAGTCTGAAGTATAATCGAAGTCAAATAAAACAAGCTGCAAAAGACAAAATACAGAAATTCATTATTTTAGTACCATTGGAAAAAAAAAAAAAATCACCTGTTTTAGGCCATAAAGCATTGACAGCAACTTCTCCTCTAAATTCTTCTGCCATTCCCAAGACACACATGGACATCCCATATTTAGAAATGGTGTAAGCTAAGACAAGAAGCATAAAATGATTAAAATTTACACTCTATCAAGAGAACTTTAATTATGAAGGAAAGGAAACTCAAGTTTTGGGGGACAAAACAGTATCTTCCTAGAGTCAAAATCTCTCCCTTCTCTCCACCACCCCCAGCAGATGCAAACTGTAGTCTGTCATCTTTTCACTACAAGCAAAATGAGAGCTACGTGTGTTTTGACAAAAACAATGACTGAAGCCTAGCTGTATGGTGGTTTTGTTGTGCTTTTTACGTACAGCACACTGACAGGAATGCTCAATTTTTTCAAGAGGCCTAAGGCACGCTAGCTGCTAACGACCAAACTAGTATTCTATAGAAAAAAAAAAGGGGAGGAAAAAAAAAAGGAAATTCTAAATCCTTCTCATCCATCTATTTTGAGAAGGGAAACTTTTGGGGGAAAAGAACTGGGACTTGCTGGAGGAGTTTAAAATGGAAAGTGCACAAAATTGAGAGTTTTTTAAAAATTTTAAAATGAGCAACATTAACCTCAAGAAAAATGGGGTTCCTTTCCCACCTCAAAATTCATTTCTATTTTAAAATACAACATTGGACTTTATTAAATAAAATGTGAAGCTGAATCGGTATAAAATAGATTTTGGGTTTCAATCTCTATTTGGAACAGAAAATATTTTGTAGTCTTAAGAATTCCCATCAAAAAGCACAGATTCTTCCTTTGAAAACATTCCTGAAAACATAAAGGACGTATTAGGCCATGAAACCCACACTCCGTTTTCCCACAAAACAATTTGTTTTAGGTTAGGTACAAAACACTCTAAGGAACCATTAGCGACAGTCTGTATACAGTGCTAAAGATACAAGATCTAGCATTCTGGGCTGGCACTCCTGCACATTTCACCAGGTATTTAGGTGGTTCTCAAAAAATAACAACAAAGGCACTGAATGCTACTCACCACAATGATTTTTGAACCACATGGGATTCAGATTCATAGGTGGGCTGAGGTTCAGGATATGGGGGTTCCTACTCTTCCTCAAGTGGGGAAGGCATGTTTTAGACCTGAAAGATAGATTCAGAGAAATCAGTCACTTCTTATTTTATGGAACACCTATAATTACAGGAAAAACCATACTAGCAGACCAGTATTTTCATTTTCATGGAAGTCCAACATTCAGCTGAGACCCTGCCCCTGTAT